CCAACATTACTAAACCACCAGTCCGTCCAAGCCTCCTCCTTCTCCCCATGTGCTGTGCTGCCCAGCCCTGGAAAAAAGATGAACCGCCGAAGGCTGGATTTTTCCAGCCGCAGCCAGCCTTTTCCCTCCTCTTCAGCCGAACCATGGTTTGTGGTGCAACAACCGGTCCATCAGAACACAGTGATGGGGAAACAGACTCCTGGTGCAAAGCCTACTGTCTTCGCCCGAATAGAATGCCCGGTCATTATAGCTGTATTTGGCACAACTTTCAGCCCAGATACGGCGACAATTACTGGGCGTTCTATTCGGGTGAAGACATGGGACCCGACCTGATGGCCTGGCCAGGTGACCCAAACAATCACGGCGACTGGGTCCCAGTCGCCGGGTGAGTCTGCTGGGTGACCCAGACAATCGCCGGGTGGAGCGGCCGGGTGGCTCTGGTAGCCTAGACTCGTTTTGGAATTGGCAGGCAGCAGAAATCCACCGCGGAGAAAAGAGGCTTGGACATACAGGTGGTTCAAAACTTTAAAGTTTAAACCAGCAAAAAACAGGAAACCGTCGAAGTCGAACCAATGAAAAAAGCCGAAAACTTGCAAAATGCCAACAACATTAAACCAATCGTTACGCCCAAATTTGGCTGCATTACCCTGACTGGAGTTCATCACCACTGACATTGAAGGTCCAAGATTACCCCTCCGACACGGCAATGAGTTGTGTAGAAGTTTACGCTTTGCCACTTTAATTTCTCCAAACCGGCAAACAACCGAACCCTGGGAACCTCGACCTTCCCAGGGTTCGGTTGTCACCCCTGCTGGGTGACCCATAAGAAGCTTTCGTTTCTCCAACTTGTTGAAATTCTTAGAGAATCTGTGTTAGCCGCCGGGTGGCCCAGGTTGCCTCAGATTGGTCCACGTGGCCCGGCCGGGCCAGGTCCTGGCGAAGTCCCGGTCACGGTCCCGGGCAGTCCCAGCATGAAAAAAAAACTAAAAAACTAGAAAAATCAAAAAAAAGATTTAAACATCCGGAAAAAAATATATGTCATGCAGAATTGCAAACCAAACACCTTTTGCCTGAGGGTGACCACGAAATTCGCTATGGAATCCAGAAGAAAAAAAAATAAAAAAATAGTAAATACTAAATTACCTAGGAAGATTTTCATGACCGGCCGGTCACCCGGGCATGATGCCCGGGGGGGGCCGGGGTCTGACGCCCCGGATACCCATACTAAAAAAACTGTCCGGTCAAAGGGGCAAAAAAAAAAAAAGGAAGGGGGGGTGTCTCAGCAGGTAGACACCCCCCCCCTGCCCCCCCCGCCAACCYCCCCCTCACAAAAAAAAAAAAAAAAGAAAAGAAAAGAAAAAAAACATACGAGATGATACGACTAACCAAGAGTGCATGTCATTGATGATGC